ATTGCTGTAAGCAAATGTCCGAGGTATGTCATCTCACGCTGTTTGAGTCACATGTTTTTGGGGTTAAGTTGTATGTTCTTGTCCCTATATTGCTGTAGAAAAGCTTGTAGTTTTCTGTCAGGATCTTGTCCAGCTTCTGTATCATTGCTCACTTCACCACAATGAGGATATCATCTGCAATCATTTTAACCACAGGCAGTCCTTCCAGTCCAGGAGGAGTCTTCACTGGAACATGCCCGGGGCTGGGTTTTCACCCATCATCATGTGCAACCATCTGTAGAAACCAAATGGTGTTGCGAAGGCTGTCAGCATACTGGACACTCTGGCCAAGGGTATGTGCCAAAACCTGTTCCTCACATCACAGACCCTGATTCTGTGACAAAGATTCTGGCTTTGGAAAGTTCTGACAAGATGTCATCAACTGTGGGCAGTGGCTTCTTTTCAATGCCTTGTTGAGTGGCTTTGGATCTGTGGAGATGTTTGATTTACCTGGTGGCTTTTTTGCCACACCATACTGCTCACCCAGGCTATACTGGCTTCTGATACCCCTGTTCTGCAGACTTTTGAACTCCTTGCACACTGGATTACATAGTGTCACTGGAACTTTCCTCTGTTGTAAGCACACAGGTTCCACTGTGGGGTCTGCTTCCAGTCACAGCTTTCCTTCCAGGCATCTGTTGCCTTTGAAAACATTCCCATATGCTTTTGAAACTGTCTCCATGGTCCATGGGACTCCTCCGTTTACTTCTTGCACTGCAGCTATTAAATTCTGCTGCTGTGTCCATGGCTCTATTCCCCAAGAGAAGTTTGTGGCACTTACCATCCATCACCACAAACTTCAGTTGGTACCGTCTATTACTTTTCAGGTTAGTTACTGTGAGGTCACTATGACACTTTGGCAACTCACCCAGACCAGTAACGGGTTGTATAACTGCCTGCCTTGTAATCTTGGGAGCCTTTAGGCTATGCAGCTTTGGTTCAGAGCCCTGACACCAGCAGCCTACCCACAGCACAAAGGTCTCTCCCTCAGCTTCCACCAGCCCAGTTATTCCTTGCAGGGGGATCCCAAGAACACTTCCAATCCCGAGTCTGCCCATAACCATCTCCCCTGCAGTTTCCAGTTCCTCTTATTGGACACTCATGGAGGTAATACCAAGTTCACTGGCTTCAGAGAGCCAGTACTCACAACAGCTTGTTAGCTCAGCTGGGGTGATACATTCCACCTTACTACACAAGACTGAGATAGTTTGCAATAAACCTATAAGTTTATTAACAGATTTAAGTGCTTTCAAGCAAGAATGGAAGAGATATGAAAGAGTTACAAACAAACAAAACAGAAATAACCCACTTTCTAGTGTCTACAACTTAATTCCAGCAAGATACAGCTTTGCCTCACCTAGTTTCCTACTCACACCGAGTTCTCCAGCCTGTTTTAGTGGGAGGACCCATCTTTCGTAGATACAAAGTGCTGGCTTCTTTGTTCTCTCAGGCAATGGATCCCCAAATTTTTCCAGCATTTTCCATACATCCCCAAAATTTATTTTTGCCATCAAAATCAGAAAGCTCAGCTTTCTGTGTTCAGCATGGAGCCCACGCCATGTTAATTTTGCAGTCTTCTGTGATTTACAAGGTAAATTATTTTCCCGCAATATGCAAATGAATAGCACACTGTCCCTGCCTCTGGTTATACCTGGCTTGATTTGGAACTGAACCAAAGAGGTGTTTGGCTTCCTCCTTTGTCTGGAAAAAACCCTGTTTTTTCTCCTTTGTCTGTTTACAGACTCCAAAACACAATATCAGAGAGAATCCACAATTTCACATACAGTGTTGTTACATATATTTCACAGCGATATTAACAACCAGCATGTTGTTAGTTTTCAAATAATATATTACATGACACTTCTTATGTGGATATCATGACAACAATGTGTGAAGTGTATTGAGCTAGTTAGAGCAGCTGAGTTTTGTTGTTACATACCAGGAAGCTTCTTGCCATCTGGCAGTGTGGTTCTCTTAGGGTCACAGTCACATTTTCCTACAGGCTTCATTATGATCTCATTATACATTATTAGATTCTGCTTGCTCTTTTTAATGTGTGTGTTCGGGTCCAATTCACCCCAAGGAATCACATTGCAGGAGGCCCCCTATCCAGCTGAACTCACACAGGGCACTTCCTTGTTAACATTGTTGCTTGCACTGAGGTTGGTGGTGTCCCTTGTTGATTTCCTTCCCAAAAGTCTGAACCTGATATGTTCTCGGACTCAAGGACAGAGTCAAGAGGTCAACACTGTCTGAGGCGCCATCCCCCTCATGGGCAGCGGGTGAACCACGGGCTTGGGGAGGCTCACCCCTGGCCATCCTGCCCCTTTTGCCCAGGGCCCCACCCCACTCTCCCCCTTTCTCCCGCTGGAGCCCAGAAGGCGGGCGGGCAGGCGGGCGGGCAGGCAGCGTGGTCCCCAGCCCGAGCCCCAGAGTGGTGGGCACGCAGGCAGCTGAGCATGGCCCACACTCCCACCCAGGATCGCCGGTGGGCAGGCAGCATGAGCACTGGCTCCAGCCGCCCAGAGTCCCTAGCTGCAGGCCGGCCCCTACTAGCCCCAGCCAGGGGCAAGGGCACCGGAGCCCTCCCAAAAGTGTGGGGGGGGCCTCCGCCCAAGATGGAGATGAAGGCAGCCGCCTGCCCGTGTCCCAGGCCCCCCACCCAGGGCAGGTGGAGGGACCCAGTCTCCCCACAGCTGCCCACGCAGCTCTCTGCAACCCAGCTCCGTCCAGGAGTGGGCCTCGGAGCCACAGCCCAGATACGTTAAGAGCCATGGACCCTCCACCTGCCTGTGGTGCGGGGTCCTGAGCAGCCCCTGGCCCGTGTCCCTGCCCCCTGGGCTCCCCACCTGCCTGGGGCAATGCCTGCATGGCTCTTACCATGGCCGGGCTGCAGCTCCAAGGCCCTCCCCCACAGGCAGTTGTGGGGAGCCGGCATGGAGTCACGGACCCTCCTCCTGCCCTGGGTGGCTGGGGAGCCCAGGGAGTGGGGACATGGGCCAGGGGCTGCTCTCAGCCCCCCCCTCCAGGCAGGTGGAGGTTCTGCCGCAGCTCCCCACAGCTGCCCAGGCTCCTGTGAAAGGAGGGGGAAAGGAGGGGGAAGAGGTCTGCCCTGGTGAAAAGTGGATGGGCCAGACCTGTCCACTTTCAAAAAGTGGGAGGGCTATGGCCCCCTGGCCCCCCTGGTTCCAGCACCACTGGTCCTGGGGCCCTGGGCCCCGGCCAAGAGCCTCAGCAGACCACGGCAGGAAGCAGGAGGGGACCTGTGGGGGGGAGTATGGGTGGGGCCACATAGGCAGTTTGGGTAGGCTGAACCTTCCCCTGCCTTCGATACCTTCCACCCATGATCCCTCTCTTGGACAAGTCTGACTGAATCTTTCTGGGATCTTCCTCTGCTTGTGCGCACATGGCTAAAATGGTTCAACTTGCCACATTCCTTGCAGTGATGTCATTGTGCGGGGCACATGTCCCTTACCTTCTCCTGCTGTCTCACACAGTAAATTCATCTCACTATGGGTACGGACCACTGGCCACCTGATCTCCTTTGCTGTTGTCTCCCTGCATGTGCTTCTGGGGATGTTTGTGTCTCCTAGGGCTTTCATCCTTTCTCTTGACGTTTCCGCTGCAGCCCATGTCTAAGCATTTGTCTAATGTGAGATTGCCTTCCTGAAGCAGCCACTCCCACAGGCGGTGATCCCAAGTGCCACAGACTATCCTGTTTTGAATTAGGGAGACTGTCAAGTCCCCAGAATTGCATGTAGCAGCCAGTTTGTGTAAGGCAGTAATATAAGGGGTCTTTCCCCTTCCCTTTGGACTGGTCTTTAGCGAGAAGCTTGTGTCAGGCCACAGTTTCATTCTGCTTTGGGGAGCAATACACCCCCGGGGCTCCTAGAACGGTACTACTATGAGGCTTGAGGCAGGGGTGAATTTCAGAGTGCTGCAGACTTCTCTGCCTTGTTCCCCAGTGAGGTCAAATAACAGTTTTACTTTCCTGCTGTGTCATCCTGCATGGCCAGGCCTGTGAACAGCTCGAACTCCTCCTTCCACCAGGTCCATCATTGGGCTAGGTTTGTGTCACAGGCCCTGGTATCAACAAGCAGAAGGTGCTGGAGGAGGAGGAGGAGGGACATGCAACAGGGGGGTCAAGCTATGCTTCAAGCCAGAAGCTGTTTGAGACTCCACTGCAGGCAGTCCTGGCAGTTGAGCACGGGCGAGCCCGATGCAGGGGAAGTACCCTTGGATAAGTGTGTAAATTTATTTCCAGTTACAATGATGTACTGATGGCACCCCCAAATTAACAGGACACATCTAGTGACTTTTCATTAATTTACTCATACTAGAAGAGGTATAAGTACAACAGAGGGAGGGGTGTTATCTGCTTGTCATTCCCCTGTAGAGTTGCGGGGGAGACGGGACGGGATGCAGAGCAGTTTGTTTATGTACACAGGGACATCCCTTGAATTCTCCTGTCTGAACTCAATGAAACTTCCATGGAGGTACTCTGCAATCCTCTGCTGAAGGTTTCTAGGAAGGGCAGCCTTATTTCTCCCTCTGCGGTAGGATGCTTTCCCGCGCCACTCAGTGATAACTTCAGTAGGCACCATTGCAGCACACAGGCTAGCAGCATATGGGCCTGGATGACTTCAGAATGCCAGCTACAGCTGCGTTGTCTGTGCTTTTGTTAAACTCAGGAGTGAGATCTCAGCTAAAATCCGCATCACCTTTGGAAAACAGTGCAGCATTCAGTGCCATTGCCCTATCATATTTCATGCAACCGAGTAATTCCATCCTCAATTCTCTCACCCCTGGTGAACCATACTTATGGCTGGTGCATAAGCAGAAGTTTCAATAAGTATGTTGTGTTTAAAACTTTAGGGGAGCAAAGGAAGGGACTTCTGAATCTTAACTTTCACTTTCCATTGTGACTATACTGACAATCACTCTCTGTATTTTATCTGTAGGCTACTGCTGATGTGGCCTTGAGGTTCCCCCTCTACATGAAAATCTTGAGCCAGATAAGGAGAAAGAAGAGGACTCAGACTGACATGTTCAATAAGTTCCTGCAAGCCAGTGCTGCATCAGACTGAACAGAGGGCCTGAGGGGTGAGCATTGCACACTGTGTGGAGAAGGAAAGAGTGGAAAGGAGAAAAGCCGAGAAGTCGGAGTTGGAGATGGGTCTTCTCTGGTAGCAAACACAGATGCTGCAGACTCATGGAAAACTCCACTGCAGCACCTCCCTACATCCCTCTCAACATTCCACATGGCATTGAGGGCCACATCCGTACCCCACCATTTCACTCCGGGGGAAATTGACAACCACAACTTCTCATACACTGGCCAGTGAGAGCCACGGTTGATGTATATGTAGCTAAAATGGACATGAATGTTCCTTCCCCTTCTTTAAATTCTGTTCCATAAATTTGTTAAGGTTTTAATGTATTTGCTTTTAACTTGCACAAAATTATTTGAAATGTTTTTGTTACTCAATAAAATTAAAATAATTAATCTTTATTGGTTCCTAACATATTCTGCTGTATGGCTGGTGGTAGTGAAAGCACCCATTCACCTGGGATTGTAAACTTTGACACAACTCACAGGATCTGTGACAAACAGTGTAATAGTTATAAATGTACAGCAAGGTTCATACAATTCCTAACAGGCCCCCAAACTGCAGGGCCAGGTAGAGCACAGTACACCATAACCCATTACTGCGGTTCGCCGTTAAAACGCTCTTTCAAAGCCTCCCTGAGCCATATAGCTCCATATTGAGCTCTTCTGATAGCCCTTGTATCTGGTTATTCAAGCTCAGCAGACAGCTGCTCCACCTCCACTCTAGTGGCAACTTTTCCCCCTCACAGGTATTATGCAGGACACATCAGGCAGCTATAACCATTGGGATAGTTTTCTCACTGAGACCAAATCCTGTGAGTAAACAGCACCAGCATCCCTTCAGTCTACCATAAGCGCATTCAACTGTCATTCCGCATTTGCTGAGCTGGTAGCTGAATCTTTCCTTGGTGCTGTCGAGGTGACTGGTGTACAGCTTCATGAGCCAGGGGAGTAAGGGGTAGGCTGGGTTCTCCAAGATCACTATTGGCATTTCAACATTGCCAATGATAGTTTGCCAGTTGGGCAAGAAATTCCCTGCTTGTAGCTTTCTGAAGAGTCCTGTGTTCTTAAAGATGGGAGAATCATGCACCTTCTCTGACCAGCCCACATTGATGTCGGTGAAATGTCCCTCGTGATCCACCAATGCTTGCATAACCATAGAAAAGCAGCCCTTTCTGTTTGATGTACTCTGTGGCAAGGTGGTCTGGTGCCATAATAAGGACGTGCTCCATGTCTGTTGCTCCACCACAGTTCAGGAACCCCATAGCTGCAGATCTATCCACTATGTCCTGCACATTGCCAAGAGTCACAATCCTGCATAGCAGGAGATGATTAATGGCCCTACACACTTACATGACAATGGCCCCCACAGTGGATTTTCCAACTCCAAAATAATTTTTCCCACTGATTTGTAGCAATCCAGTGTTGCATGTTTCCACAGTGTGATCGCCACTCATTTCTCCACTGCCAGTGCAGCTTCCATTTCTATGTCCCTGAGCTGGAGTCCTGGGGCGAACTCAGCACACAGATCCAGGAATGGGGTCTTGAGCATCCTAAAGTTCTGCAGCCATTGCTTGTCATCCCACGCCTGCATTACGATGCAGTCCCATCAGTCAGTGCTCATTTCTCAGGCCCAGAAGCACTGCTCCACCATCTGCAGCTGCTCCGTGAATGCCAACAACAACGTTGAATTGGTTCTCGCGATGTCCCACAGCGACCTGACCTACAGGAAATCATTGAATTCCCTGCAGCTCTTCTGGCTCTGCAAATACCGGAGGGGCGTGTGTCCTGTGCCTGCAGTGCTCATGAGAGTAGTGCAGAGCTGTGTGGGCTCCTGTCAGAGATGGCAGACAGCAACAAGTCCCACATGAGTTTGTGGAATTTTCAAAATAGGTGCAAAAATTCTGGGACAGCGATGGCATTACAGGGGGAAGAAAACTGCATGATGGGAATTTGACCCCGCAGTCCCAGTCACCCCTGCCCGACTCATTTCTGCCCCATCATGCATTGCCAGAACTTCCCAACAGACAGTGCACTGGACTTTGGTGAGTTGCACACTGGGATACCGACCCATGGTGACTGAAACAAACATTCCTGCATCCGATGAAGTGAGCTGTAGCTCACGAAAGCTTATGCTCAAATAAATTGGTTAGTCTCTAAGGTGCCACAAGTCCTCCTGTTCTTTTTGCGAATACAGACTAACACGGATGCTACTCTAACTCCTGGGGAGTACGTGCAGCGCTGATACAAGGAACCAATTATGCATGCACACAAGCAATACACAAACTGCAGCAGCTTTATGCCAACATAAGTTGAGTCAAAAAAAGTTTGTAGTGCAGACATGCCCTTAGACTTAGGGTTGTGAATTTCCTCTTTTTACCTTGCTAGCCATGGACCAATGGGATACATCATCAGTAAACAAAGCAATCAGCTTGCAGGCAGTGGGGAAGACTTCATCTGCACTGTAAAATTGCAGCAGGAAACATCACATGGGAACTCACCATGAGGGGACACTTTGATGAAGATGGCAGGACACTGAATCCCCCAGGAGACCTTCCTGGCTCTTGATACCAGGACAATGAACTTTGGGGGAATATATAGACCTGGAAAAGGACTTTGGGTTATCCTTCACCTGAGGAGACAAAAAAGCTGAGTGCCGTGGGCTCTGTGTTGGATTTCAGCCAAAGACTGGCCACCATGCTGGAAAAGACTCTAGTTTGTAAGGGCGGCAAGTATCATAGGCCTGGGGAGGCTAAGCCTCCCCAAACATCCTAGCATGCCCCCATTCATGCTTTGCCCCCTGGTCCCCTCCGGCTTCCCACTCTTCCCCCCGCCTGGGGCTAGGGCAGCCTGTGGCTGGGACTTGGGGCAGCTGGAGCCGATGCTTGCGCCACCCGGCACTCCAGGTCTGGGGGTGCTGGGGCTGTGCAGCCTGCCCGGCGCTCTGGGGCTGGGGGCGCTAGGGCCGTGCTGCCTACCTGGCACACTGGGACTTGGGACACTGGGGCCTTGCCGCCTGGCACTGGGGCTGCAGGTACCGGGTCCGCGCTGCCTTACGCCCGGCACTCTGGGGCTGAGGGCACTGGGCCAGGGGTGAGGGGGCTGGGGTTGGGCCTCCCACCTGGGGCTTCAGGACTGGGAGTGCTGAGGTTGGGGCCACACCACCCACCCAGTGATCTAGTGTTGGGGGTGCTCGGGCAGCCTGGGGCTGGAGTGGAAAGGCCAGCAGCCGCGTTGGGGGGGCTCTGGGATCTGGTAGGCAAGGGGAAGGGCCTCTGGCAGAAGGGGCGAAGCCAGGGGCTAGCCTTCCCCAAGGGGCGATTCACGCGCTGCTCATTCTAGTTTGTTAAGTTAGACTGTAATCTTAGAAGCATATTTTAACTCGTTTGTTTGTAACCATTTCTGTCCTGATTCTGTGTACCTGATGTCACTTAAGCCTATGTCCTTTCGTTAATAAATTTGTTTCACGTTTACTATAAACCAACTCAGTGCTGTGCATTAAAGTGGAGGGAGTGTAAACCCCAGTGAAGCTAATAGCCTGCTGTGTATTTTCTCTTTCCGGGAGCAGCAAACTTGATCATTTCTGTGAGGGTGCAGTGAGAGGGACTGGACACTCCAGGGAGTTTTGGGGAGCCTGAGGACTGGAGGGGCAGAGTAACCAGGCTGGTGGGAGTCAGGGTCAGGCCATTGTGCTGGGAGGAGGCTGCTGGTGTCAGGACTCTGAGCCAAAGCAGCACAGCACAGAAGCACTCAGGGCTATAGGGCAGATGGTGAGACAATCCCTTACTGGTCTGGGTGAGCCCCTAAAGCATCACAAAAGTGAAGAAGAACATCAGGCCCATTTGAAAGTGCAGGGAGAACCGTAGGTAAGCAGAGAGAAATAAATCATTATATAGGCTAGCCCTGCAAGTGAGTACCCACGGCTCCAGATGGGCTTGTATAGCCTGCACTGTAGCAGCTTTGCTGCTCCAGGACCCATGCTAGGTAAATTAAAGCTAGCTCGGGTATGTCTGCATGAGCTGTAGCCACACCTCATGAGTGCAGTGAAGACATCCCCTGTGATTAAAAGAATTGGGAAACCAACTTTTCTTTTTCTCTACTATTAAGTGCCTAACTGCTGAAAAGTCATAGGTGGTCCTATGTGACATGAACAAATACGGGATCATACAGTTTAAAGTAAGGATCAAACTACTGCGTACAATACTGGCCTGATCCTGCCACCCCTCCTCATTTGAGTAATCCAAATAGGACTAGGGATAGGATACAGAGGGACTTAGACAAATTAGAGGATTGGGCCAAAAAACATCTGATGAGGTTCAACAAGGACAAGTGCAGAGTCCTGCACTTAGGACGGAAGAATCCCATGCACCGCTACAGACTAGGGACCAAATGGCTAGGCAGCAGGTCTGCAGAAAAGGAGCTAGGGGTTACAGTGGACGAGAAGCTGGATATGAGTCAACAGTGTGCCCTTGCTGCCAAGAAGGCCAATGGCATTTTGTGATGTATAAGTAGGGGCATTGCCAGCAGATCGAGGGACGTGATCGTTCCCCTCTATTCCTCATCTGGAGTACTGTGTCCAGTTTTGGGCCCCACACTACAAGAAGGATGTGGAAAAATTGGAAAACGTCCAGAGGAGGGCAACAAAAATGATTAGGGGACTGGAACACATGACGTATGAGGATCGTCTGAGGGAACTGGGATCGTTTAGTCTGCGGAAGAGAAGAATGAGGGGGGATTTGATAGCTGCATTCAGCTACCTGAAAGGGGGTTCCAAAGAGGATGGATCTAGACTGTTCTCAGTGGTAGTTGATGACAGAACAAGGAGTAACGGTCTCAAGTTGCAGTGGGGGAGGTTTAGGTTGGATATGAGGAAAAACTTTTTCACTAGGAGGGTGGTGAAACACTGGAATGCGTTACCTAGGGAGGTGGTGGAATCTCCTTCCTTAGATATTTTTTAAGGTCAGGCTTGACAAAGCCCTGGCTGGGATGATTTAGTTGGGGATTGGTCCTGCTTTGAGCAGGGGGTTGGACTAGATGACCTCCGGAGGTCCCTTCCAACCCTGATATTCTATGATTCTATGTACAGACAATTAGAAGAGATATTCCGATACCAAGGAGAAGGGCACCATATAAGCATTGCGACAGATCAGATCAAATAGAATATCTGGGTTGTGAGCTCTCTGGGGCAGCGACTGTCTTTCCGTTTTGTGTTGGTGCAGCACATAGCACTATGGAGCCCAAATACTGTGGTAATACAAAATGGAGCCCAAATACTGTGGTAATACAAAATGGAGCCCAAATACTGTGGTAATACAAAACAACAAGTAATAATAATGATC